TTTTTTGGTTTTTAAAGAAGCAGAGCTGAATGGCGTTGCTTTTACTGTGTTTTGTCTTTTTTTCCTTCCCTCTTTCGTGGCATTCCCTAAACACCGCTGCTTCTTGGCAGCTGGAGCCGCTGCGGTGCGGCTTGAGCACTTCTTGTGGGAGCACCCCGGGGCTGTGGGGCTGGGACGTCTCCCGTAGGGCCAAGCCCGGAGCGGGGGCGGAGGAGGAACTCTTCGCTCCAGGGAGGAACAAATCTTTGGCTTCTTGTGCCCCAGCTTGCTGGGACAGTGTCAGACGCCTCCCTGTCCCTCCCCGCCCCTGTGGAGGCACAGGGGTCAGGAGCCGGGCAGCAGCGGGGCCATGTCGTTCCCTGCGGCCCAGGTAGAGTTGCGATGCCAAGGGCCATCACCGGCAGCTGTTCGCGGTCTCGCCCTGCAAGTGTTTTAACGTCGCTCCCAACTCTCCAAATCCTAAATGAAGCCTTTTCCCTCAAGCCTGCCTTGTTTCAGCAGGTGGGAAAAGGAATGTCTGCCACAGACAGAGCTTTGTCTGTGGAGATGGACACAGCCTGGTGTTCACTGGCCTGAGTTCCCTCTGGGGTAGAGTTGGAAAGACTCCTCTGATGTAGCTGACACAATATGGGGAAGTGTCCTTGTTTTATGGACACTGATTCATGTTATAGTTTTGGTGGGTAGTGTCTCTTGGCAAGTGGGCTGGAGGAGAGCTGCACCGTGCTGTGGTTTCCCCATGGCGAGGCCCTGCAGTGGTTGTCTGCTGATTGATCTACATACAACCTTTCAGTCCGTAAAGACTGTCCTGAAGCATAGGTGTTGACTGCTGGGAATATAAACTTGAAATTCAGAGTGGTAGGAACACAAAACCTTCACACAAATGTCTCACTGCTCACCTGCAGAGTGTGGGGAGAGCAGAGTGAGGAATGAGTTGCTGTCAGCAAACCCTTTTGCAGCAATTTATAATTGACTGACAAATACGTACTTGTATCTTGAGATTTTTTTGTTCCTTAAAGTGCAGTCATTGTGTATCGTCTCTGAAACTGTGGATTCCAAATTGTGCCTTATCTCTGATGAGAAGGGTGTCCGTAGTTATATTGCTCCTCCTGAGCTGCAGAGAAAGCATAGTTAACTGGGCAGATGTAGCTCCTAGCCTTGTGTCCCAGCTGTTGAATATTACTTATGATTTGGTTAAATGCCACTGATTTTCAGGCAGGCAAATAGTGTCAGCTGTGTCCTTTTGTCTGTAAATTCTTGCCTGACATGGAAGAATTTACAGACACTTCCTAGAAAATAACTGCCTGCTGGTGTCACTATTCCTGTGTGTTTTGACCCAGAGGTCAGAAAAACTGCAGATACTGGAACAGTAGGAAAATTCTGGTCTTCATTGTAACCAGTGTGAGCACTGTGTGTCTTCTTTATGCTGCACAGTGCATAAATTACTCATTCAGACACAACTGGAGGATGTTTTCATCTAAGCATGCTTGTTTTTTGGTTGTATTTTTTTAATTTACAGGAGAAGAGAAATGGACTAAAATTGCTACTGTTTATAGTAAAGCTGCTAGCAAATAGTTTTCTAGGGTGGAAATACATACATGTGGAAACTTGCTCTTTTCAACTGTATGTGTAAGATAATGAATCAGTAGTATGAACTAGGTGATGGTTTTATATTTGTTAGCAACATGTCAACACTAGGCCCTGCCTAAAGGGAAGAACAAAACACAGAGATAGTAAAAACTATCAGCATTTATCTTATGATGACTTATGATACTTGGTTGTGGTTAACTCAGTGTTCTAGTAGCTATTGCTTATTTAATAGGTGTGGTGTTTAATCTCAGATTCACTATCTATAGCAGATGTGTATCGAGTATGACAGGCATTGAGTTTATGACTCTGTGTGTTGCCATGTTGCAGCCAACAAAATGGAACTGAAATGAACTTTGGCTTTCTTTTCTTTGTAACACAGCAGGAAATTGCAGTCACCTGTCATGCTGGCAATTTACATTTTTTTCTTTCCTTCTTTTATATTGCAGGCCAATTCATTCTGCTGGCTTCTCCCAGCCTGACTGGCAGGTTTAAAACCCACTGTGCACACATCGAAGCAAGCTGCAGGTACCATTGAAGGTCTGTAGACTTACAGAAGGTAAGAGTTGGTAATTCTACTGTTCTCTAGGTTTCTTCTAAGTAAACTTCTTCTAAGTTTGGCTCTGTTTACCCTAAAAAGGGAAATGATTTTCTGTGTGAAATCAAGAGAAACTTCTTTTAGGAAGTGGTGAACAAAATGCTGCTGTGCCTGATCTCCTTAAAAGATGTCACAGTGGGATTGAAATCCAGTAGCAGTCTCTAATTGGCTGCACTAATTGCAATTTGTAGTATGGGATCTCAGGTGCTTGTGGCACCAAATCAGTCTGCAGTGAGCTGATAATTTTCCAGCCTTTGCTGCCTAGTTTAAACTGTGAGGTTTAAAAGGGAGAAACAACTGTTTGGTAGTCAGGTAAATTTGATCTATTCTCATTCTGTGTTTATGTGTATTTATGTCCCAGGCTCAGAAGCATGGAAAGCCTCTGTGCAGCCAACACCACTTTTGCAGTGGACCTGTTAAGGATGCTGTGTGAGAAGAAAAGTGGGCAGAACGTGTTCTTTTCGCCCTTTAGTATTTCTTCTGCTTTGTCTATGGTTTTGCTGGGTTCAAAAGGTAGCACAGAAGCCCAAATAAGCAAGGTAGGTCAAAATAAACTTGGTGTTTTGCATTGGATGGGAGCATATGAGGAAGAGTCTGTGACATGGACTTGTGCTCAACTGTGATTGTCACTGTGGTGTGGGAGAGCAGAGCTCTTTGTCTGGTGTGTGTGTGTCAAGAGAACCCATTTTCTTTGTTTTTGTAGTGTGAGCTCTGTTCAGTATGAAGTGCAGAGGTTCCTGGGTTTTGTTGTGTGGGGTTTTTTGTAGTTTTTGAGACCTATCTTCTTTAATATACAATTGGGAGGTTCGTGGAGTTTTTTTATTGATCAGTGGCTACATCAATTATTTTCCTTTCCTTCCTTGCTTGGGCTTAATATCATACAATACATGTACTGCAAATGAAGCCAGGCACATAAAAATGTGGAAGGAAAATCAGGACTGGTGGCTATGATAGTCCTGAATTTATGACTTGTACAAGCTCTGAGGGAGGATGTTGTCTTTGTGCAGGTGCTTTCTCTGAGCAGCACCCAAGATGCTCACAATGGGTATCAATCCCTTCTCTCTGAAATCAATGATCCGAACACCAAATATATCCTCAGAACTGCGAACCGCCTCTATGGAGAAAAGACCTTGGAGTTTCTCCCAGTAAGTAGCCATTATAGTTGTGGCATTTCCTAGTATAATGCACTTGCTACCTGTTTCCTCTGGAGGTCAAAGGCAGGCTTTGGGGTTTGCCTTCTGACCTTTCTGGGCTGAGAGCCAGGAGTGCAGTTGATTCTGATAGAGCCTGGTGTCTGAACTTGGTAGAGAATTTAATTTTAAATAACTCATGACCTGAATATGCCAAGGCAGGGTAAAATCCATCAATCTGTACACTTGAGGGTAATAAGATCCATTCATATATTTGGCTGTGGGATGAATGGTTGCTATCTCTTTTAGCAAAACTCTGATAAAGAAACATAAAATAATATGTTACATCCTTGAAGCGTAAAATAAAATCAAGAAAAAAAATAGCCATATCATTTTCAATGAGTTTATGTAGAAGCTTGTAGTGGGATGCATAAGACATTTGGTTTAACAATAATGCCTAGTTCAAAGAAGTGGTATAAATCCTAGCAGGAACTTGTCAGCCAGAACTTTCATGCTCTGTATGAAGCAGGTGAAGGAAAGCAGGCAGATTTCCTTGGAGAATGTAAGACTCACCTGTGTCTGAATGAGAGAAAATCTCTTGCTGAAAATCTGTTGTGAATGTCCCTGTTAGTCTTTTATAGAGTCGAGTCAGAAATCCTACCATGCTGGCCTGGAGCAGATGGACTTCCTGCATGCTTGGGAGGATTCCAGGAGGCAAATCAATGGCTGGGTAGAGGAAAAGACTGAAGGTGAGTGCTTTGCCAAGTGTCCAGTTGTGTTTAATGGCAGCCATTGTTTAGGTAAACACCTGCTTCAGGATGTAGGGTTATGAATTCAAAGAATTGAAATGCTGATGTTTTGCTGTGTCTGGTACATAATTCTCTTCTCTATTGTGTATTAAATGCAGGTGAGATAATATCTTGGCTAATAATTAGATCCATGTCAAGGTATTAATTAATATGTCTTTTTCCCTTATATCATAAAGGTAAAATTCAGAACCTGTTGGCTGAGGGGACTCTGAATTCTTTCACCAGACTTGTGTTGGTGAATGCCATCTATTTCAAAGGCAACTGGAAAGAGCAATTCAATAAAAAGAGTACCACAGAATGGGAATTCCGAATTAATAAGGTATGATGTGCTAAAATGCTGACCATACAGTGTTAGTTGGATGTTGTCTGAAATGATCACCTTTAAGAAGAAATTAAATCTTTCAAGCAGGGTTCCCTTGGGTAGGCTGTAGGAAATCCCTGATGCTCTCTCCCTTTCATATGAACACTCTGTTTGCTGAGTTTCTCTGAACTTTCACATCATTCCTAGAACCTTTGCAATAGCACAAAGACAGGTGTGAAAGCTTGTGAACTGAAGTCTTCTTCAGTCAGAGCTTTCCTGCTGCATTTCTGCCCCTGAGCCAATGCAAAAGGAATGGCAAACAAATTTCCTTTCAAGACTTGTTTTCAGAAGTCGATCAGTGCTCTTGAGGAAGACTTGGCCCCTGGCATGGGCAGGCCATGGCTGCCCCTCAGGATCCCCTGCAGCTCTGTGTTGGTCTCCAGGTGTCCTGAGCAATAACTGGTCATGTGCCTTCCTTAACTGCCTGGCTTTTGAAGCAAGCATTGTGGAAGATTGAAGCCCTCATGCCTGTCTTGAAACTGTCCCTGTCCGTCAGTGGTGAAATAAATCCAAGAATGCTTTTATGTGCTACTAGCACTTTTAAATAAGGGTGTGTTACTGCTCACCCTGTAGTGTCTACAAGAGCACTTTAGAGACTGCTGGAGTAGCTTGGTTCTTGACACCTTGTCTTCAATGAACAATTGGAAATCTGACATGTAAACTGAGTCCTTAAGCGAACTATTTTATATCCTGTTCAGTTACAAAGAGTTACTTTGACATCCCACGAACCTCTCCAACATCCTGTGAAATTACTCCTGTGACTCTTGCTCTTCTTATGACTCACTGGATGATCTTCTATGGCTGTGTGTCTTTTCTTCTGCTTATCTGTCCTTTTTAGGTGTCATTGCTGCTGCAGAACAATTTCTGATGTATTCTCTCTGGGCATTATTCATGTGGCATTACTTTAGTAACAAAAAGCTACTTATGTGACAGTCTCACAAAGGGAAGGGAGAAAGCAGTGAAACTGAGAAGAAGGAAAAGAATGATGTAAACAATAGTAGCTGATACTCCGTGTGGAAATGGAATAAGATAGCATTGAAGGAAAATGAGAATAAAACCTCTCCCTTTCTTACTATAGGTATGACTTTTAAGAATTCAAATTAATACTCAAATTTTCTTGGTAGTTGTAGGATATATATTTTAAAATATNCAAGGATTTGATGGTTGAGTCTAATATTTCTAATTCAGTGAATTAATACACACACTATACAAAACACTATATACAACATTGTTAGTTTGTTCGAAATGATAGTCTAACATGTCAATAGAGTAGTTTGAAAGAACACTAAAGTGATAAAAACAATGCACAATGCAGCTTATGCTGCTTTGATCCCCTCTTCTTATCCCGCTTTTTTTTTTTTTTTTTCCACTGGATTTTTTCTTCAAGTATAATTGAGGGATTTTTGAGGGATTTATAAAGTTGACATGGTTGCTGTTGTTGTTCATCGGGTTTGAACAGTAGTTCATGAATTTCAGGAAGGTTCAGGGAACTCAAAGTTACCATCTCTTCGCGGTTGGCTGTCAGTTTTGTAAACACAAGACTAAAAAAGGTACAAGGTGAGTTAGTTTGGGTCTCGCAGGGGCTGCAAGACTTTGGCTTGGCTCAGGCCGCTGGAGTTGACGGGTTCGTCGAGGTATTTCTTTGGGTTGGTGCAGCAGGTCCCGGTGGAGGGCCTGCCGCTGTCTTTCTTTCCCCCCGCCACCTTTATGGGTGCGGGGGGGCCGCTGCTAGAGCTCAGATCGGGAGCGCCGCACGGCAAGCGCTCTCTCTCCCTCCCGCGCCTCCCCGCTGGAGCGCGGGGGGAGCG